CTTTAGTAGGATGCTCTTTAGCCTCCATGTATTTGAGTTCTTTCCGACTTGCCTCTTGTGATTGAGTTCGTTTCAAACCATTGTGGTCCAAAAATATGCAGGGAATGATCCGAGTCTTTTGTTACAGGTTGAGACCTGATTTATGACCTAGGATGTGATCTGTTTTGAGGAATGTTCCATGGGCACTAGAGAAGAATGTGTATTCTGTTGCTTTGGGGTAGAATGTTCTGAATACATCTGTGAAGTCCATTGTGTACAGTGTGTCATTTAAAGTCTTTATTTCCTTGTTGATCTTTTGCTTAGATGATCTGTCCATTTCAGTGAGGGGGGTGTAAAGGTCTCCCCCACTATTATTGTATTGTTGTCGATGTGTTTCTTTGATTTTATTTTTTACTGGCTTATATAATTGGCTGCTCCCATGTTAGGGGCAAAGACATTTACAATTGTTAGATCTTCTTGTTGGATAGACCCTTTAAGTAAGATATAGTGTCCTTCCTCATCTCTTATTATAGTCTTTGGTTTAAAATCTAATTTGTCTGATATAAGGATTGCCACCCCAGCTTTCTTTTGGTGTCCATTAGCATGGTAAATGGTTTTCCACCCCCTCACTTTCAATCTGGGGGTGTCTTTGGGTCTAAAATGAGTCTCTTGCAGACAGCATATTGATGGGTCTTGTTTTTTTATCCAATGATAGCCTGTGTCTTTTGATTGGGGCATTTAGCCCATTTACATTCAGGGTAACTATTGAAAGATATGAATTTAGTGCCATTGTATTGCCTGTAAGGTGACTGTTACTATATATTGTCTTTGTTCCTTTCTGGTCTGTGTTACTTTTAGGCTCTTTCTTTGCTTAGAGGACCCCTTTCAATATTTCTTGTAGAGCTGGTTTGGTGTTCACAAATTCTTTCAGCTTTTTTTGTCCTATAAGCTTTTTATCTCTCCTTCTATTTTCAGTGACAGCCTAGCTGGATACAGTATTCTTGGTTGCACATTTTTCTCGTTTAGTGCTCTGAATATATCATGCCAGTCCTTTCTGGCCTGCCAGGTCTCTGTGGATAGGTCTGCTGCCAGTCTAATGATTCTACCATTGTAGGTTACAGACCTCTTGTCCCGAGCTGCTTTCAGGATTTTCTCTTTGTCTCTGAGACTTGTGAGTTTTACTATTAGATGTCGGTGTGTTGACCTATTTTTATTGATTTTGAGAGGGGTTCTCTGTGCTTCCTGGATTTTGATGCCTGTTCCAATATATCTCTGCTCCTCTCTCTCTTCTTCTGGGATCCCAATTATTCTAATATTGTGTCATCTTATGGTATCACTTATCTCTTGAATTCTGCCCTCGTGATCCGGTAGTTTGTCTCTCTTTTTCTCAGCTTCTTTATTCTCCATCATTTGGTTTTCTGTATCACTAATTCTCTGTTCTGCCTCATTTATCCTAGCGGTTAGAGCCTCCGTTTTTTATTGTACCTCATTAATAGCCTTTTTGATTTCGTCTTGGTTGGATTTTAGTTCTTTTATTTCTCCAGAAAGGGTTTCTCTAATATCCTCCATGCTTTTTTCAAGCCCAGCTAGTATCTTTATAATCGTCATTGTGAACTCTGGTTCCGACATCTTACTAATGTCCATATTGATTAGGTCCCTGGCAGTCGGTACTGCCTCTTGTTCTTTTTTATGAGGTGATTTTTTTCCATCTTGTCATTTTGACCAGAGGAGAATAGCAGAATGAGAGAACAAAATGCTAACAGGATAATAACCACGACCCCAGAAAAATATACAGTAAACAAATCAGATGATACCCGAAACTGGGGGGAAATGAAAGGGGGATTAAAAGAATATGATCAGGTTGGTGAAAATGACAGAGCCACATACTAGATTTTGGGTGTATTTTGGTCTGTAGAAGAAATTGTCTCCCAAGATTTTAAAGGAAGAAAACTTAGATATATATATCTATCTATATATCTATATCTATATAGATATATAGATATATATACACAAAAATAAGGGTAAATATGATGAAGCGATGGAATATGACTGTAAAGATGAAAATTAAAAGATTTTAAGAAAGGAAATGATAAGAAGTTGGTTGAAAAAAGAATGAAAAAAAATTTTTAAAAAAGAGAATGTGATCAGGCGGGACACTAGGACAATGTCATACACTAGATTTAGGGTATATTTTGGTCTGTTAGAAGAAACTGTATCCCAGAATTTTAAATACAATGAAGAGAGAATATGACTGTAAAAAAATGAAAAATTAAAAAATATTTTAAAAAATGAATTGATAAGATGTTGGTTGAAAAAGGAAAGAAGAAAAATTCAACCAAAAAATATAGAAAAAGAAAAAAAGAAAATTTAAAAAATTAACTTTAAAAGACTAAAGAATCATGGGGGAAAAAAACCATGAATTCTTTGTGCTGTATTCCACTAGTGCTGGAGTTCTGCCATTCTCACTGATCGGTAAACTTGGTCTTGGCTGGCTATTCTTGCTGATCTTCTTGGGGGAGGGGACTGTTGCAGTGGTTCTCAAATGTCTTTGCTGGAGGTGGAATTGCCACACCCTTGCGGGGGACCGGACTAAGTAATCTGCTTGGGTTTGCTCTCGAGAGCTTTTGTTCCCTGCAAGCTTTCTGTACAGCTTTGGAGGACGAGAGTGAAAATGGCGGCCTCCCAACCTCCACCCTGGAGGAGCCGAGAACTCGGGGCCCCACTCCTCAGTGCACCCCCAGAGAAAAGCAGTCAATCACTCCTGTCTCCCCGGTCTCCGGCCGCACTCTGTGCTCACCCGGCCTGTGACCGAGCGTTTCTATCTCTGGCACCCGGCCCCATGTGGAGTCTCCAAACCCAGCAGATCCCTGAGGTGCGCTCCTGTGCCACTCCTCCCCAGGGAGGAAGGGAAGTCTCCCCAGATCTGCCACTTGTTGGGTCCCTGCTGGAAGAGCACTGGCCTGGCTGTGCCACGGATCATGGTTTATGGCAACGCTGAGCTGAGTGCCCACTCTTTGGCTCCGTCTCTGCAGCCGGCTTCCCTGCTCCAATACCTGGGAGCTCTGTCGCTCTCAGGCACCCCCAGTCTTTCTCTGACCCCGAGGGTCCTGAGACCACACTGTCCCAGTGAGGGTTCCACCCCCCGTTTAGCCACTGGAGTGATGTCCCTCAGCGGAGCAGATTCCGATTTTGTGCTCTGTGCTCTATCACTTGCCGGTAGCCGGCTGACGGAGGCTCCCTCCCCCCCACCATCCAACTTCCGGAACTTCGCCTCAGATTCACTTCTCCACATGTCCTACCTTCCAGAAAGTGGTCGCTTTTCTGTTCAGAGAGTTGCTGCTATTCTTTTCTTTGATTTCCTGTTGAGTTTGTAGGTGTTCTGAATGGTTTGATACCTATCTAGCTGAATTCCTGGGACCAGAGGAAATTTAGGTCTCCTACTCCTCCGCCATCTTGCTTCTCCCCTAACAAAATCTTAAAAAAAAGTAAGAAAGAAACAGGCTTCAGAGGCCCTTGGGCACCCCCTCCCCCCTACTTCCATGGGAACCCAGGTGATTGTACCTTGCATGTCAGTGAGACCCAGTAGGTCTGCTCCCAACAGAGGCAGGGTTGGCCACTCACACAAGGGGCTGGCCACCTAGCGGACTGCATCACCTAAGTCAGGTCCCAATGTTTAACACTTGGAAAGATTTCCGTGTATGTCACCAACTCAGATGCCTCTGGCGCCACAAAAGCAGTTTGAATGAGTTCAGCAGGTGTGACAGTAACTGGGCTGTAAGGAGTGGCAGGGAACAGTCACGCTGCAGAGCATGTTCTTGGGTTGGAGGGAGTGGGGCCTGCTCAGCTCCAGCCAGTTGCTGCCTGTCAAGATTGGACGTCTGGAGTTGCCTCAACTGACTTGTTAGGAGAAGCTGGCAATTAATTTGAGTTACTTTTTAAAAGTTTTTTCCTTTTTTTTAAATCATGTGTATAACACCCAGTGCTAAGCAACTATTGAATCATTGAACACTACATCAAAAACTCATGATGTGCTATATGGTGGCTGACTGAACATACATACATACATACATATATACATACATAAAAAATCATGTGGGTCTAGCAAAATAGATCTGCAGCTGTCCTCTGCCCACAGACCATTCTCTGTATCCAGGGTAGTTGGTTTCTCCCTCTGGAGATCACTGGGGCACATCTGGCCCAGTGAGGGATTAATCCCCAGGGGGCTGAGGAAATCGAATGGGGGCAGCCCACCCACCCTCTAAAGGAGATGGCCAAGAGTAGGCCCTGTTCTCTGCCAGCCCCAGATCCTGGCCCTGCAGAGGGAGCTTGGCATGGCCTTTGTCTCCTGGGCCCTGGGGTCGTGGCAGGGCTGCGCAGTCCACTCCATGTGGAAGCTGGGGCCTCAGCAGTAAGCCCCAGGCCTGTTGCATATGATAGCTCCTCTTCTCTTGCTGCTGTCCCCAATTTTTCTTCTGTCTCCTTCCCACCTTAGGGGAAGAAACCCTTTCTTTTTCTCAGATGTTCCAGTCTGGAATCTGATTCCTGTCACATCCTACGACTTTGAATGGCTTATCAAGATACCCTCCCACAGACCTTTCTATCACTGTCTTCCCTCCCTCTCTTCCTATTCCACACCCCCTCCCTCTACCCAACAAATATGTATTAAAAACCTACTTTGCCAGTCACACTTCCTTCACCGTAAGAGATAGCTGTCAAGGTGGTACCTCATTCACAAGGTCCAGTTTACCCTTGCTTGGGACCGAACAAGATCTGTAGTAAAGTGGGAGAGAAGGAAGAAAGATCCAGTGCTGAATCAGTCAAGGAAGGCTTCCTGGAGGACATAGACTTAAAATAAGAGATAGAACTTAGAGACTGGCATAAAAAAGGGGAAACCACATTCTTTTTCTCCTCCCAGGTGTTGGTGGCAATCTGGTGGCCATTCAGACCAGCCGGATCTCCACCTACCTGCACATGTGGAGCACGCCTGGTGTTCTCCCCCTCTGGATGAAACAGTTCTGGCCTAACCCATGCTCCACTTTCTGCACCTCAGGTGGGTCTGGTGTCTTCCAGAGGCCATGTGGCCATTTCTTTACACAAGTAAAAATTGCCATCATTGGAATCTGCTCCGTAGCAACAGATGTCTAAGACCAGTGCTGACCTCAGCCCAGATCATCTTCAAGGACACAGCTTCTCCTCCCAGAGACCTGACTCCCCACCTCTGCCTCTAGTTGATTCATCCATTCATTCAGATATTTAATTCTGCCAGGTGCTAGGTGTCAGGTTGCAGTGATGAGTCAGAGAAAGCTGATTCTTGCCCACATGGATTTACATGATCTAGAAGAGCAGATAAACATACCAAAAAAGGAGCATTTAACTACGAATTATGGCATGTTTTAAAATAAAACAGGGTTCAGTGGAAGGAATTTCAGGAGATATTGAGATTTGGGTTTGGCAAGTTCCTCTCTCAGGATGATGGGGAGAGCAGGGGAGGGTGTGGGGGGAGGAGGCGTGCTGGAGCAAGAGGAGCGTTTGAGGCGGGGGGGACAGCCTGAGCAAAGGCTCAGAAGCAGGAAGGAGCTTGGTAAGTCTGAAGAACTGAAAGGCCAGGGAGGCCTGAGCAAAACGAGCAAGGGAGAGGATGGAGGAAGCTGAGACCAGGGAGGGAGGGGTTTCGTTATAGGTCCTTGAAGCTTGAGGAAGGGAGACTGGATTCTATTCTGAGAACCACTGGAAACCTTTTGAGGTCTTTTCTTTTTGTTACTTTTAAAACTTGGATCTTTTCTCCCACTGCATTTTCTTTTAATCATTTCCTTTCTGTTTCAAGAACTACCTTTAGGGTGCCTGGGTGGCTCAGATGGTTAAGCGTCTGCCTTCGGCTCAGGTCATGATCCCAGGGTCCTGGGATCGAGTCCCGCATCAGGCTCCCTGCCCAGCGGGGAGCCTGCTTCTCCCTCTGCCTCTCTCTCTCTCTCTGTCTCTTATGAATAAATTTAAAAAAAGAGCTACCTTTAGCCATTCTTTTAGGGTAGATTTGCTGGCACATTCCTGAAGGATATTTTTGCCAGATATAAAATTCAGGGTTGATGGTTCTTTTTAGCACTTGAAAAATGTGCCACTTTTTTCTGAATCCCCTGGTTTCTGATGAGAAATTACTGTCATTTGAATTATTTTTTTGTCTTTTGTTTGTTTCAAGACTTTTTCTTTACTTTTTAGTCTTTGAGTTATGATGCACATTGGTGTGGATTTCTTAGGGTTTGCCATGTTTGGGGTTTACTGAGCTCCTTGAGTACATGGATTTATCTTTTGCCAAATTTAAGAAATTTCAAGCCATGATTTCTTCGATACACCTTCAGCCCCACTGTCTTTTTCCTTTCCTTCCTGTATTCTGATGACATGAATGGTGGATCTTTTGTTATGGTCCCACAAGCCCTGGAGTCTCTGTTCAATTTTTCCCCCAGCTCTCTCTTATTCATATTGGCTAATTTCCATAGTTTTTTTTTAAGTTCATGGATTCTTTCCTCTGCCCTCTTCACTCTGCTAGTCATCCCTTGCATTGAGTTGTTTGGGGTTTTTTTGGCTATTGTATTTTTTCAGTTTTAAAATTTCCACATGGGTCTTCTTGTATCTTCTGTTTCTTTTCTGAGACTTTCTAATTTTTTTTTACCAAAACTTTCTATTTTTATTATTTGTTTCAAGTATATTTGTAATTGCTGGTTGAAGCACTTTTACAATGGATTCATTAAAATTGCTTTCAGATAATTCTGCCATCTGTGTCATCTCATTCTTAGTGTCTGTTGGTTGTCTTTTCAAGTTGAAATTTTTTTTCTTTTATAAGAAGTGATTTCAGATTGAATCCCAGGCATTCGGGGTATATATTATGAAACTCTGGATCTCATTTAAGTCTTTTTCAGCTACCTTTTCTGACACTGCACTACTGAAGGAAAGGGAATGCATTGCTTCCTTACTGCCAGGTGGGGGTAGAAGTCCAGGTTTCCCCCCACCCCTACCATCCCCACCACCTCTGTTCATACACTGGGGGAAGAGGAGCACTTCATTATTGGTGGGCTGGGGAGGGGTCCACGTTCCTCTGACACCACCCTGGCTGAGAGGGAGAGGGAAGCTTTGTTATTGCTGCCCACATGGCCTTCACAGACATGGTTGAGGCAGAGTACTTCTTACTCTCCACTCAGCTTTCTCTATCCCACCTCAACCAGAGGGGTGAGTGGCACATTCCACCTAGATTTGGTCAGAAGTCCAGGCTTCCCTCTTGGCCTTTGCTGATGGAAGGGGGCTGCAGTTTTTCCTGTGATGTTTGGCTGGAATAGAGAAGTTGTTGCCTAAAAGTTCTGTGTTTTGCTAGGCTGTCCCTCTTTTGGACTTTTGGCTAGACAGAGCGGGCTTTTGTTGAGTCTTTTTTTTCTTTTTTTTTTGTCTGTGCCCATTGACATTTCTGGGTTGCTGACTTCTCTAGCATCTGGTCTGGGATATGAGGCAAAACTCCCCCAAAACAACAACTCAGGGAATTCATTTCTGTGTTTGTTGGGTCCCTAGGTCCCTGGCCAGCCCACCTTTTCTCTCCACCTTTTCAAATCTTCTTATGTTTGTTTTATATATAATGTCCAGGGTTTTTAGTTGTATTTAGTGAGAGGACTAGGAAGAAATATGTCTAGCCATCTTGTCTTGAAGTGGAAATTACCATTGAATTTTCTGATTTGTCATTTATATATAGAAAATCTATTTCTAGGGGCGCCTGGGTGGCTCAGATGGTTAAGCGTCTGCCTTTGGCTCAGGTCATGATCCCGGGGTCCTGGGATCAAGTCCCGCATCGGGCTCCCTGCTCCTTGGGAGCCTGCTTCTCCCTCTGCTTCTCTCTCTCTCTCTCTCTCTCTCCCCCTCTCTCTCCCTCTCTCATGAATAAATAAATAAAATCTTTTAAAAAAAAAGAAAGTCTATTTCTATTTCTCTATTATTTCTGTATCTGTCTTAGTTCAGCTGCTATAATGGAAGTATAGAATGGGTGGCTCATAAATACAAGAAGCTTATTTTTTATAGTTGTAGTTTGTGGAAGTTCAAGGCACTAGCAAATTTTGTCTGGTGATGGCCTGCTTCCTAGTTTGTAGACAGCTGTCTTCTCACTGTGTCCTCACATGGTGGAAGGGGTGAAGTGTCCGAGATGTCTTTTATAAGGTTGTAAGCACTAATGACATTCATGAGTGCTGTACCCTTATGACCTAATCATCTCCAAATACCATCACATTGAGGATTAGATTTACAACATATGGATCTGAGTGGTGGAGGACACCCAGATGCTATAGCAGCATCTAAATATTTTACTGAATTCTTATTTATGTAATGTTTCTATAGATTTTCTTGAGTTTTAGGACCAGCTACCAATAGCAATTATTTATTTTGCTTCTACTTTTTTTTCCAAACAATCTTTTCATACCTTGTCTAATTTTTCATCATGAAGAGATTTTGGAGCTCTTGAGTGTTCTCAGCCTCTCTCTACATACTATTTTATGGTAGTGTTTTTAGCTTCTAAGCTGTATGATTGTTCCTCCTCTTTCTTGTTAGTTTGATGAAATATATTAACTCAGAGGCAAATGGAGACTTTTTATTGAAACTCTATTTCTGTTGAGAAGTCAGTTGCATTCATATGTTACAATTTTTAAGTGTGTGTGGTTGGGGCAAGGAAGTCACACTTCTTGCAGAGTCTCAAATTCTCAGAGTACTGAAGCCAAAAGACAATGTGCTGAATGAGTCCCAGAGGCTTAGCGTGAGGAAGGGGCTGCCTGAGGCCTCCCATGAGTGTGCCACCCTTCCTTGGATTACTAATTCCACATGCTGAGCCTTCGTTCGCCCACATTCCAGAGCTCTCTTCCACCTTAAGCTCTTTGCATGTTCCCTTTCCTCTGCCCAGAGTCCTCTCCTCCAGATTCATATCTCAGCCTAGATGTCATCTTCTCTTGAGGGCTTCTAGTCTCCAGTATTCATCCTACTAATATACACTTTGTTCTCTACCACATTATCCTGGTTTATTTTCATCCTCACACTGGTCAGTTTGAAATGACTTTTCTGGTTTGTTTCTGCTACTCGATTCTGGTTTTTTTTCCTCTCTCTCTCTTCCCTAAAATGTCAGTTCCATGAGGGAAGGGACAGGAGTATATCCCCATATGCAAGAACCTGCCTGCCATGTAGTAGGTGCTCAGTAAACACTCGTGTAATAGATAAATGAATGTGGATGCCTCACTGGAGACTGTCACATGCCAAGGTGGCTTCTGCTGCCCAGCAGGTCACACAATCTCCTTGGTTTTGTTTTTTCCAGAAATTAATTCCATATCAGCCCGAGTCCTGCTCTTTCTGGTGGTTCCGGGCCATCTGATTTTCTTCTACATTATCTACTTGGTGGAAGGCCATTTGGTCCCAGACAGTAAGATCTTTGTGGTGTTCTATCTGCTAGCAAGCCTGATCCAGGTGAGGATGACTATAGCAGTATCAGAGCAGCATTCAGTGGTTGGTCAGCCAGGAAGATTTGTCTTGGTTGGTGGGGGGGCGGTTCTAGGACCCCCATCTTACAAGAGTCAACTTGTTCAACCCCAAGGGCATGATCCAGACAGAGAGGCCACTCCACACTCTGTATTGCACATTTCACACTGCACATTCCACACAGCACATGCTACACTGCACATTTAATAGGGTACACCCCCCACAAGGCACACTCCATACTACGTATAGCACACTGCACCCTCCTCAGGACCAAAGGTTCATCCTGAAGTTGCAGCAAGTTTCTGTGAAGCAAGTTGATGACTGGGTCCAACTGATAAACTGTGCCATGCACACCAACCATCACAGACAGGGTGGGCAGAGACCAGCCTCCTGCTGGAGTGTTGCTGAAAGGCATGCAGGGACTTTAGTCAGGGCTGGATGGTGATAAGGACATGATGAAAGAGATTAAGCTGGTGCCTGCCTCTGGGTAGTACTCAGCAGACTGTCTGCCCAGACTAGCTGACTGATGCCCCTCGTGGGCCCAGGTTGTCTGCAGAGATAACTGTGGACACTGATGGGCAATTCTAGGAGGGCAGTGCTAGAGTTAGGGACTGACGTGTTCAAATCTCCCTGAGTTAGGGCATTTACAATTGCAGCATGTCCCTGACCCTGAACAGTGGGCTGGGGCACTCTGACAAACTATCTTGAGCAGGAGCACAGAAAGGGCTGGAGTCAGCCTGGGACAGGGGACCAAGGAGCCCTGGAATGAAGCCAGCACTGTGCTCACTACTGGCACTTTCAGGAAAGGCTTACTGTCCAAAGCTGCCCATACAAGGGCTTCCAGCAAACTCAAATTGAAGTCCCAATAAGGTCTATGTTTTGAGTTTTCAAGGACTGTGAGAGGAGTTGGTGTAGCAGAGATGGTCTGTCTGGCACCTCAGTTTGCCACAAGTAGGACCTGACCACAGGGAGGGAGGCTAGGCAAGTATGGATAAGGGTGGACTTCCTGCCTCTGCATGAGCTCAGAGCTGGGCACTGACCCCAAGAAAAGCTAGAGGAAGGGGGCTCCTTGGAGTGGACATGTCCACCTTGGTATCTGCCTTTGAAATTTGCTAGTGTTTCTTAGTGACACTTGACTCTCTGACTTAGTTGTTATTTTTTGTGTCTGTTTGCTCTTGTGCCAGGTGACGATTCTTCTGTACCTGGCAGAAGTGATGGTTCGGCTGACATGGCACCAGGCCCTGGATCCAGACAACCACTGTATCCCCTATCTCACAGGGTTGGGGGACCTCCTAGGGACTGGCCTTCTGACACTCTGCTTTCTTATCAACTGGTTATTGAGGAGTGATGCAGGGCTGGATGGTTTCTCAGAACCATCATCTGGACCTCCCTAATGAGCCCAGGCAGCCCCAGTTTCTCAGTAGAATTTTCCTTCACACCAGCAGGGTACAGAATACAGTTTCTCCCTGCCTGGGTCCTCAGGAAGGATGGTTGACACCCTGCCTCTGCAGTGGCCCTTTGTCAGTCTGCTAAGGACACTAACACACATCTTGACTCTGGAGTTGGAACCTGAGCCTATGAGGGTGAGGGAGGCCTGAAATCAGAAGCATTGTTTGTGTATGAATGTGACTGCATGTTCCCGGACATAAGTGCACACTCATGTGCTTGGTGAGTGCAAATGAGTGTGCATGTGTGTATGGAGAGCAGGGGACTCTGGCCTGAAGACGCTGAAGGAAGAGACATGTCCAGTGCACTTGGGAGATATGCTGGCACTGTTCTGTGCCCATGCAGCCTGGATTGGGGAGGAACAGGAATGAGATGCCTTCTGTGCCCAAGCCTCAGGACTGAGCTGTGGCTTAAGCACAGTCTTCACCAGGTCTGAGCTTCATGGGCCATTTTGCCGGTGTGCCTGCAAATGTGCAGCCCTTCCCAAGACAGCTCTTCCTTGCACACCCTTCATCAGCTCCCAGTATTTAATCCTGTTAATGTTTTTTCTCTTTTTTTTTCTTTTTATGTTTAAGCAAAACTTCTGTTTAGATTTTAATGATCAGAGAAGTATAAAATAAAACATAGATTATATTATACTTGGCCTTTGTGTCCTTAAAGATAGTTAATGCCACCATGAGACTTGGGATCTATAAGTAACAAAAACCTCTGGTGTTTCTCTAGTGTCTGTTTCTCAAACTGTGGTCTCCAGCATAGAAGCATCAACATCACGGGGAAACTTGTTAGAAATGCAAGTTGTTTACCCTCCCTCCCCTAGGCCTGCCAAATCAGCCTGTCTTGGGGTAGAGCTGAGCAATGTAGGTTTAATAAGCCCTCCATGTTGTTCTGATACACTCTCACATTTGAGAACCATTACTCCAGAATGCCCTCACTTTTTTTAAAATATATGTTTACTTCCTGATTTTTTTTAAATTTATTTAATTTATTTATTTAGAGAGCACACACGAGTTGGGGGAGGGCAGAGGGAGAGAGAGAATTTCAAGCAGACTCCATGCTGAGCATGGAGACCAACACAGGGCACAATCCTATGACCCCAAGATCATGACCGGAGCTGAAATCAAGAGTCAGATGCTCAACTGACTGAATCACCCAGGCGCCTGCTACTTCTTGTTTCTTATTAACTCATCATAACAACTTTAGCCATGGTTTGGACTGAGGATTATTATCTTCATCTGGTATAAACAGGTATTTACATATTAATTTAGCACATATGGACATGGGCCATCTTGTATGAGTGCCCCAGAAGGAAAGAGGTGGCATCCTAACTGGTGTAATTGGGCAGGGCTTGAAGAAGGGACAGTTTACAGATACATGGGGAACAATGGTGAAGCACGCTATGCCTGGTCACAGTTAAGGGGCTGTTACCACCAGAAACTCCCCTGAACTGGGGAGTGAATAGGAGTGGGATTATCTGAGGTTGGGTGGAGGGGCATCTCTACTTAAAAAAACAGCTACCATCAGCTGTGGCCTGACAGAGAGAGATCCATGGGAATAAATACCCCAACCTTATTCTCTGCTTACCCTTTAAACTGCTAGTGTCTCCCATTAGCCAAACCCAGCCAGAAGTTAAATGACTGGCGGTGTCATTTATGGATGGTTCCATAAATATATAGAGGTCTCAGCCCCCCTGGGGCTCAGAGCCAGTTGAGGGTGGAGAGTGGTTCTGGAGAGGCAAGTGGAGAATATCCAGCACACCTAGGTACCAAGTCCTAGGCTAAGTACTGGGGATGCACTTGTGGGCAAAGCATTCATCATCCCTCTCTCAAGGGTCTATAGGGAGATGGTCAATAATAAACATCATAGGTTTGTGACAACATGGATGGACCTAGAGGGTATTATGCTAAGTGAAATAAGCAGACAGAGAAAGATAAATACCATGTGGTTTCACTCATATGTGAAATCTAAAAAAAAAAAAAAAAAGAATAAACAAAAAGAATCAGACCTATAAATACACTGATGGTTGCCAGAAGGAAGTGGGGTGTGGGGATTGGCAAAATGGGTGAAGTGGAGTGGGAGGTACAGTCTTCCAATTATGGAATAAGTCACAGGGATAAAAGGCACAGCATAGAGAATATAGTCAATGATATTATGATAGTGTTGTATGGGGACAGAGAGCAGCTATATTGGTGAGCAGAGCATAATGGGAAGAGATGTTGAGTCCCTATGATGTGTGCCTGAAACTAATAGTGTGTCAACTATACGCAAAAAATTGCTTAAATAAATAACACTACACCAACAAGTGTTAAAATTTTAGCTCTGATAAATCTTGCAAAAGAAGAATATGGTGCTGTAGAAGTATGTAACGAGAGCTAAGACTTATTGAGCACTTATTGTGCCATGTTCTGAGCATTTTAAATGTGTAAACTCAGTGTAATAGCCTCACAGCAACCTGATGTTATAGGTATGATAGATCATCCCCATTTATAGATGAGGAGACAGCCATTTTGAGGTCTCTTCACTTTCCCAAGATCCTTTGGTGAGTGGTGGTAATCTGGCTGAGACCCAAGCTATGCAAGTAGTAAAGGGATTTGACCAAGACAGGAGCTCAGGAAAGATTTTTCTTCAGGAAGTGCCATGTAAGCTAAGATTCAAGAATAAGCAGGAGTAAATCAGCAATGAGCGAAGAGGTTTGGGTGGAAGGTAGAGCATTCAGAAAGATGGATCTTATCATAGGTAAAGGGGGAGCAGAGTAGAGGGGCCACTACTGAAGCTTGAGTTCCTGCAACATTTAATGACCAAGGGAGTATGATCCTGCAATGCAGAGGCAGAGAAGAGACATGGGAGAGGTAAGGAGAAAAAAAAAACAAAACAGGAGAGCATCATGTTTGGAGACCAGAGAAGTGTATTATAGAAAGAGAAAGTGGTCCAATGCTTTGAAACTAGAACTCAATCACAAGAGGAAAGTCGGAAAGAACTCAAATACATGGAGGCTAAAGAGCATCCTACTAAAGAATGAATGGGTCAACCAGGAAATTAAAGAAGAATTAAAAAAATTCATGGAAACCAATGAAAATGAAAACACAACTGTTCAAAATCTTTGGGATACAGCAAAGGCAGTCCTGAGAGGAAAGTATATAGCAATACAAGCCTTTCTCAAGAAACAAGAAAGGTCTCAAATACACAACCTAACACAACACCTAAAGGAGCTGGAGAAAGAACAGTAAATAAAGCCTAAACCCAGCAGGAGAAGAGAAATAATAAAGATCAGAGCAGAAATCAAGGAAATAGAAACCAAAAGAACAGTAGAACAGATTCAATGAAACTAGGAGCTGGTTCTTTGAAAGAATTAACAAGATTGAGAAACCCCTGGCCAGACTTATCAAAAAGAAAAGAGAAATGACCCAAGTAAATAAATCATGAATGAAAGAGGAGAGATCACAACGAACAGCAAAGAAATACAAACAATTATAAGAACATATTATGAGCAACTCTATGCCAGCAAATTAGATAATCTGGATGCATTCCCAGAAATGTATCAACTACCTAAGCTGAACCAGGAAGAAATAGAAAACCTGAAGAGACCTATAACCACTAAGGAAACTGAAGCAGTAATCAAAAATCTCCCAACAAACAGGAGCACATGGCCAGATGGCTTCCCAGGGAATTTCTACCAAACATTTAAAGAAGTATTAATACCTATTCTTCTGAAACTGTTCCAAAAAATAGAAATGGAAGGAAAGCGTCCAAACTTGTTTTATGAGGCCACCATTACCTTGATCCCCAAACTGGACAAAGACCCCATCAAAAAGGAGAATTACAGGTCAATATCCCTGATGAACATGGATGCAAAAATTCTCACCAAAACGCCAGCCAATAGGATCCAACAGTACATTAAAAGGATTATTCACCACGACCAAGTGGGATTTATTCCTGGGCTGCAAAGTTGGTTCAACATCAGCAAAACAATCAATGTGATACAATACATTAATAAAAGAAAGAAAAAGAACCATATGAGCCTCTCAATAGATGCAGAAAAAGCATTTGACAAAGTACAGCATCCTTTCTTGATCAAAACTCTTCAGAGTGGAGGCGGAGCAAGATGGCGGAGGAGTAGGAGACCTGGATTTCGTCTGGTCTCAGGAATTCAGCTGAATAGGGATCAAACCATTCTGAACACC